CAGTGAAAAGTTAATGCTGCGTACTCCTAATGGTGCATTCTGAAGACAGAAAAAAAAAGAGTTCATGAGCCAAAGCAGAATAAATCCCATCCAAACAATAAATAGCAGTGAGTTAAATTACTGAGCAATCAATGATTACAGCCCTCCACTAATGAACTGATGAACACGGATCACACAGGACGTTTTCTGACTAATAGGTATTGATCTGCCATTTCATTATTTCAGCTTTCAAAAATAAACAACAACTTGAACAAAGAGAGGAAAGACAGACGGCAGCTCCTCAGCGCAGATGATAAAATCTGCTGTATGGACTCGTGTGTGTGTGTGTGTGTGTGTGTGTGTGTGTGTGAGTGTGTGTGTGGGATGGCAGGTGTTTGTGTGCCTGCTTTTGTGTGTCTGTATTTATTATAATCTCATATCCAGGTTTCTTCTGCTAATTAGTGCAATGTTTCTGCCAAGCAGGAAATTTGGTGAGCCAGACACACACTCCTGCATGCACACACACACATCCACACACACACACACACACACGTAAAGAAGAACCAGAGACAATAATGGATCCAAAGAAGAAGAGAGCAATCCATATTTTTTCTTATAAATATGGTATTGAATGTGATAAATCACTAAATTGCATACACTGTGTTGCTCCAAAGAAAAATAGTCTCGGATTCTGCTTACAGAGTGTTTTCTACCAAAGACAAACTAAAATGAGTTTACAAGATGAGCAGAAGTGGGAAAGTAGAATTACTCTGTGACTATTCCGAGTCACTTTACTTTGGTAGTTTAATTTGTTCCGCCTTATACCTTTACTGTGTTTTAAAGGTAAATATTGCATTTTTTTTTCCCTTTGCCACGTTTATTTGGCAGCTGGTTGTTGGTTTTTATGCTTGAAAGTGTGTAAAAGTTGGTACCAATTCATAATTTATCTTGAACACACTCACATTCCAACTTGTGCATCAATTTCTTCTAACAGTCTGTATAAATACAATACCAGTACTTTTTTTGCTTATTGATGCGTGCAATGTCAGTATTTGTTCTCATTGAGGAATCTGTGCAGTCACATTGTTGTTTTCCACATCCGTGCTATATCTGGGTCTCCACATATGGAAGAATCTGTACGATATCAACAGTACTTATGTATATTTCTTGCTTATCTTACCCTGTACCTGCTGGTGGTGCTACTATTTGCAGTCACACCGTTTAATAAGTGTTATCCTCACAGATCATTCCCATACATGTTGTAATGAACCTCCTCCACCGTTGAATAACCTCAAGTTGGCAGTTCTCACCAACAGAGCTGCAGTTTTGTTCTTAGAAAGACGGACCGAAGTAGCCACCAGGAGGTTGTGGGGTCAGACGAAGGTGTGAGTCAGTCGGCTTTTGTCTGAGTACCGTCTTGAACTGTCACTGTTTAGTTTTGTGTTCAGTTACTGCTTTCATTTTTAGTCTAAAATAGTTTAGTCGAGCTCAATTTTGAATGTTTTCAGGGTGACAGCTCCACCCGCACTTTATACCCACGCTTTCGAGGTAACGTTGAGTTTCTGAGTGATCAGATTGGATGTGCCTTCTGGCCTGATAGAAGGTGGAAGAAGTCCTTACTGGTCCATACGTGTAGGATTTATGAATCGTGTGTCTCTGGCTCTGAATTCTAGTCCAGGATTGCTGCGTGGCAGACGATTCAACAGCAGGTGAAATATTCAAATGTGAGACAAAGGCAACATGGTTAAAAGGTTAAGGATAGAAATGTGGGTTAGTAGGTTGAGCCCGCCATGTGTTGACAGACTGAAGAACATGAAGCGGCCTCCTGAGAGCACGATGTTTCTGTGTTCTTCGTCTGCCTTCAATCGAAGCTGCTGCTGCTTTACCTGATGGCTCTTTCACCAGCATTAGACGCAAACACACACACATGCATATCCAAATCAACATCTCATCCGCAGCCTGTTTTAATGCAGATTTCTCAGCTGTCACTTCACTCATCACTTCCTCTCCTTCTCTTATCATCCGTCTATCTCCCAGCGCTCATCCGTCCTCCGTCTCCTCCGCTTGCTGTCTGTCACAGTGACAGCTATACTACTCCGAGTCGTTTTTAACACTTTTTTGCTATTATGTTCGGTACACTTTGTGGAGAATCACTCAGTGTGGAGATGCATTTTAAATCAGTTTTCTGTAGCGCTACCGGGCTGGAAAATCCACAGTTGATTTTTTTCTAACCACTTAAGGAGTGAAGACACTGATGGTGAAGCATATTGAAAACACGCACTTTGCTTTACTGGCGAGTGCAGTAAGTCAGCTCTGCAACATTGACGATGTACAGCTGACGTTTGGTCAATAACTGAAGTGAGGCTTCTTTTTTTTTTGCTTTCATACTTCAAAACCCAGTAAAAAGATGAAACAATGCATCTTGAAGGGTCAGTTCACTCCAATTACGAACAAAATAACTCGCACCTGTAGCTCAGGTTCTCGGTCATTAACCTTGCAGCATTAAATAATAATAATATATATTTTGCAACCATTGATTTTGGAATCCATTGTTTCCCTCAAAGAAACTTTGCTCTTCAATCTTTCATTGCAGAGAGCACAACACACTATACTTGTTAATCTTTTTTGTCTTTGGATGGAGGCAGACGCCTCATATCGGGCGCCGAGCATCTCCATCCTACTTCTGTTTGTGTGTTTTACTGGTAAACTGACTTGTTTGATTTTATACCCATGCTGTAAAACAACATGACTGGAAAAATAGTGAATCTTTCCCCTTGTAGGTGAAAGTGGAAAATTTGAATGTAATGGGGGAAAAAAAGACACCACACTGTAAACAAAGTGAGATCTTATAAACACAAGCTCTGCTCATAAAATCAAATTTGACTCGATGTGGCGCCGTGGGCCTCCACCGGGTCGCAGCGGCGCGGGTTCACGGGTGATTCCGCCGCCGCATCTTACCTCTCAGCAGTCGGCTTCATCTTATCAGGGAGCAGAGCGGCGGCGGCAGCAGAGGTTCGGGGGAAAACAGTGGCGCCGGCTTGCCTTACCTGTGTGTGTCAGTAATGGATTCAGATAGAGGGAGTCGCTCATCCTGCGCCGCCCTCCGTTATGAAAGCTCCTCACATCCAGCTGCCAAGGGCGTCCCCGCTCCTCCCCACCTCCCCGCCGCTCTGATAGGTTCATGCCCCCGCGACTCTTTCCACAGATGAAAATAGATAAAATCATCCAGACATGGCGTGAACAGCCAGTTAATGTTTCGCCACACACTGATTCAGTTGAGAAAAAAAAAAAAAAAAGAGGCAGCGAGATGAATATATTTCTATTTTTATTTATTTTTTTATCCAGTTGTTATTCAGCAGCTGAATGCTTTCACATACAGATATATACAACACAAGAAAAGAGAACTTGCTTTGCCTTGAGTTCTTCTTTTTTTTTTTTTTACGAATTCAAAGTCTCTAAATTATGTCCGTACTTCAGCTTCCTTTATGCTCCGGTTTCAAACACATGAATGCATCTATAGGCACACAGGCGCCCCCACACTTAACACGCACAGCTTGGCTGGAATGTATTCTTTACATAAGTGTGGATTTTATTGTCAACAATCTGACGCAAGTTATGAATTATCGCCATCGTCGTATTAAGTTTATCTACGTAATAATATGGACAACATGACATCCAACTTTAAACCTTTATTAACTGAATTTATTTACAATGAGCTGTAAACACCTCGTGGACATAATGAGATAGTTTAAACTATATAAATTATAACTACAAATAAGCCCAAAATTGTTCATATCCACGCATAATATTGATTTGTAGTTGATTTGTGTTTAACCAATAGCTTGCTTTAGGGTGGAAATCACATTAACATGTGGCAAAACATTGTGTTAGAGATGCTAATTGAGTTGTGTTTTTGTCCAAGATTATTCATACCCCTTGAAGCATTTGTACTTTTTTTTTAGGAAAATCCCATTTCTACCACGTTCTCGAGCTTTGTACTGTTAAGAATTTAGTAGTTCCCGTGTTCAGTTGATTGCAAGTCATGGCTAAAACCAACAAGGTTGCTCTTTTGGTCCATTGGTCCAGAAAGTTGCGCATCATGGCTGCACACAAGAGCAGGAAAGGCTGTAAAGTCATAGCCAAGTGTTTTCAAGTAAAGAAAAAAGTACAAGGAGTTCAACAGAGAGAGAGAGAGAGTAGTAGGAAACTAAAACTGACCTCTGTGCTGCAAAGAAGTCAAGAAAAACCCAAGGATCATCACCAAGGCCATCCTGATTGAACTGTCAATTCTGGTACCAACATCTAAATCAGACACTGAACAAGGTTGGTTTCCATTCACGCCGACCAATGAGGACTCCACTTCTCAAAGACAGACACACAAAGCTCACCCGGACGAAGAAGAATGGTCGGATGTGATGAAAACTGAGCTGTTTGGACAAAGAGAGCATTCAAACTCGAGAACGCCATCGCCACGGTCAAGCACGGTGGTGACAACGCGATGCTTTCGAGGGTGTTTATCAGTCAATCTGCCAGACGACCATGTCAAAGTAAACATCATTACGAGACAAGAGGATGGTGGTTGAAAACATCAAGCAGTGTGCAAAAAAACACCTGGTCTTGGGCAACATTTGACCTTCTGACAAGCTAAAGATCTGAAACGTGCAGCCAAAATGGTGAAGAAAGGGTTAAAAGAGAATGATATGAAGAGTTTGGAGTCTAGACTTGATTCCCATCGAGAATCTGCAGAAGTCCAGAGTGCAGAGTGGTGAAGAAGACCTAGAGATGATCAGGTGGCAATAAAAATCCCAGTGGAGACGTGCAGAAGGACTGTCAGCAATAATAAGAACTGTTTGGTTGCTGTTGAAGCAGGTGAAGACTTTGTCACTGATTACTGAGAAAGGGTCTGAATAATGTGTGGACAAAAATGTGCAAAACGAAACATAGAAATTGTTGAAACTTAGCGTATTACTTTCTTTCTTTCTACTGTTTATGTGAATATTTTGGGGCGTAACTGTGACTCTTCATTCCTGTTTTATTCTCAGACAATCTTCACCGTGTATCAACATTCGGATCACATTTCCTGTAACCATCTCCTTAATTTTCTTGTCCTCTTTAACAGACTCCAGAAGCGCCATAATCCCGTTGCCTTCGGCTTTTAAACCCGGTGCAAGTTCACGACCCTCCCGCTCAATCTGCTCGCGTGCGGAACGGATCGTCGTTCACGTGAAGCCGAGCGAATGCGCGAGATAAAGCGAACGCAAGTGTTTTAAGGAAGCCTCTTACTTTTGGATATTCATAAAAGTGTGATTTTGGATTAGGATTATGGAACACGCTTTTAAGAGATCAGTCTGACTCTCTGGACGGCGATCCTCTCGTTTTAAAGTGGCACTAAGCAGAGCCGCGTGGTAACGGATAACTGTGTACACAAGAAAATGTGGCTGCATTTTGCTGCCTAAAATGTAATGACTGGGAGGAGGGGAGGGAAAAAAAATAGAGATCGCTTTGAATGCTTTTAAAGGGAAACCGAGAATCCCAGGGGGCCATTTAAACATTGACAGCTGTTTTACATCTAGAAAATGTGGCTCGGGAAAAAAAATCAGGTTGTCAGTTTGCTGGTGTTTTTCAGTCTCCCTGTCTAACAAACTAATGGCGCCTCAGTGTTAGCTCAGTCCTCTGCTGCCATCTGGTTATGCAGCAACATTTCAATCTCTGCAGCTATGTGTTCGCTGACTGGCTCGGTTTAATTAAAGAGCTCGTAGGTGAGAAGCTTCCACACACGCAAAAATACAGCTGATTGAACCACAAATAAGTCAGATTTGTTCGCGGTTTCCTTTTATCCAAGTCGCGTATCTCCGATGTATTAAAGTGATTTGAATAATTGCCTCCCACCAACGGTTTTAATTGGCAAGAAGTTGATGAGCTAAAGTGGGAGGGACGTCTAAGAGTGGCCTTTAGCAGAAGGACGATGAAGAGATAACGGCGTGTCACCTCGCCTATTCCTGGAATTGCTTTGTAATTTTTTTTAGTTTTACTTGGAAACCCAAATGGGCCTTAACGCCGGCGCCCTGGCCCTTCAGCGCTCGCGCCCTCCATCCTCGAGCGGGTTTGAAATGTGCGGCGCCTCGTCCCGGAGTGAGAAATCTCCGGAAGCACCTGGCGGAATTAATTGTGGTGTCAGCAGTATTGATCAACCACCCTTTCAACCCGCTGCAGATACATTATGGCACTAAAAATCTTCCTTAATGCGTCTTTAATCCGCGCCGACCGCCTGGCCCGGGTCCTTATTGTCTTGTAAGTGCACTCGTTATCTGCGATGTTCAGTAAATGCCCAACAGAGAGTACAGCCAAGGGTGAACTACCTTTACTGTGATGCATAACAAAGTGGGGCATTTGTATGAGTAAGTGGGTTGGCATTAATTCTTTCTTAGCTGCGCTTTTTTGGCCTGTTCAGCTCTTCTTTGCAGACTTACAGTGGACTTCTGCATTTAAGCCTGCTGTTGCGCATTCATTAGGTGTTGGAGCTGGGCACATATTTTCCACTGCAGCAAGAGAAAGAGAGGGAGGAGGCATATTTCTTGCAGAGGAGACAGAGTATAGAAGAAGATGTGGAGCATCCATTATCTAGATACCCCTCCGTTCCTCTGTCAGAACTAATGGATGGTGTTTTCAGGAGGCTTCTGTGATGTGTTTTATTCTTCCCGCCTCTCCTTGATACCAGCATCTGTTGGAAGGTATGATTAGATTTAAAAGCTGCATTAATTGATTTTTTTTTGGTCTGGGAAAGTTGTAAAGCAATCTGACAGGAACACAAACCCCAACATGCCTTTTAACCTTCTTTTTTTCACACGTCCATCATGCATTCAGAACTGCGTTTTCACAAGTTCTAAATTCACCCCCTTTGGGCATCCAGCAATAAAATGTCTTTTTTTTGCTCCTAAATATTTGACTTTTTTCTCACTTTGTCTGCCTGCTGTTTGGTGATTGGCAGGATCGGAGTTTGTTGCTGCTGCAGGAGTTGTGGAGAAAAGCCGACCAGTTGATGTTAGATGCTGAAATGCTCGTCCGCACAATTTAAGCTGAATGACCTCTGGTACTGATGCCGCTGTCTTCTGAACCAGACGTCCCTCCGGCAGCACAGACAGTCTCCAGGCCGACTAATATCAGGAATTCGCCCGGTTCATTGAAATTTTCTAACAGTAAAGCCCAAAAAAAAGCTCGCCGGGGCCTTGATCGATTGCTGTAGACACACTGTGATTAAACAGGTTATGTTCACAGGCAACATTTTTTAAGTAAAGGGGGAGCAGGGAGGAGGAGGTGGAGTGGGGTGACTTGCATACAAAACACACTCAGCTTTCAGGAAAAAAGGGTTGGATATTAATGGCTTCCAGTGGACATTGCTCTTTATTAGATGCGCTGAATGAAAAAAGACCGAGACCACAGCTGAAGTCTCGTGATGCTACTCACTGATTGTACTTTGCTCTGTGAGATGGACGATCAAAGATAGCTTCCTGTCTTTTTAAAAAAATAATGCTGCTTGATTTCCTCGGTGACTGAACTAAACGGTAAATGTCCTGTAAAATCAGGCTCGCTGGAGGCTTCACCATTCAAATTGCATGTTGTAATTTGATTCATTTCTCAGGCTGCTGCAAAAAATTTCTGTAAAATCAGCTTTAAAGTTGTCAGATTTGAATTTTTTTAGAAATTGAACCATTATCAAGAGGCTGAAGATGTCTCGGTGCATCACATCACTGAGCTCCATAGGATGCTAATTAAAAGCTAATTTCTGTTCCACCATACGATCACAAAGCTCCTTTTCTCTCCTTTTTTTTTTATACCTTCTTGAGTTTGTGGCGTGTTGGCTGGCTTTCACTGTCATATTCCTGCTCTTAATTCTGAGATGGATCCTTGGACACCCATCGACCGTGAATGTGGCTGTTAGCCACGGCACAGAGTGGAATGATTTCATTCTCACCACCCACTGGAAAGCAATCTAGGCCTGTAATGGGAAACTCAAATAGCAAATCTGTGGGTATAAGCATGTCTCGAGAAGTCACGAGTCAGCAACAGGCTCAGTTAAGCAGCGAGATAGTTTAGCTGGAGGTCAAGGGGACAACAATGAAGGAGGGCAGGCCTCCTCCTCGCAGCTCCGGCGCAGGCTATTTGTCGCTGTGGCGGGGGTCCTGGTAATGTAATGTGGAGGGGGCACGGTGGGAGGAGCCCCAGAGGACAGACGGAGGGAAAGGGGGGAAAAAAAATGACTGATACGAGGCGCAGAAATGCAAAAAGGGGAATGAGGGAAGGGAAAGTGTTGGAGGGATGCTTTGTATAAGTCAATAGCGAGATTACAGACTTTGTGGAGGCTTGAGTTCTGTAGCATCAAAGGTAAACATCAGGTTTTGGTGTCAGCGAATGAGGGAAGCGGGGATCACTATCTACAACCACAGGATAAGGAAATACAAAGCGACGGAATACAAAGCGACTCCGCTGCTCTTCTTTGTCTTGTATACGATGTGAAAATACCACCCCTCTTCCACGGTATGCAACGTTCCCCCGCTGTGTTTGTTGAACAGCAGAGCATTTTTTATTCCCTCCTCGATCTTATTCGAAAATGGAAAACCATCTCCTTCGCACTTTATATGTATAGCCTATGTAGCAAAAAAAAAAAGAAAAAGAAAGAAGCTGCAGTTGGAAGCAAGCAGTTCTGCTGTCATAGAAAACCTCCAGAGAGCACCTGTCGTATACGCACCAAAGATCTGGCAAAGCGACTGCATGTCCATATCTTACTGATATTAGCAACCGTCTATCAAGCTGAAAGAACGTAAAGGTGATGCTGCACAAAATCTGCATGTTTTGTGGCTGGAGTAATAGAACTGCACGAAACTGGGGAAGAAATGGCAAAGTGACATTCGTATTTTGATATGAAAACATGGAGAGATTGTCACAGGATGACTTGAATAACTCTGTTTGAAAAGAAGGAATCATTTTATTTGCATTTGCATCTAAAAAAAAATGCTGAAAAAAGAGGTTTGCAACTTTCCTCATATGGTGCAACACGAGCAAAGGTATCCTAAAGTGTTTTGTTTTGCTTTGGATAGCCTTTAGATGTGGCTTTGCGCTTATTGTATAGACGTTTGTGGTGTTGATTTAAATAATCCAACCAACCAAGTTAGTTCTGCAGCATCATGTGGTCACAACAACTGCAAGACTCTGCCGACAGAGCAGCTGTTTTTGGTTTGGTTTGGTCCTTTCTGAAGCAGACGTATTTCCATCCAGCTTCACATTGCATTTGTTTTTTTCCAGTGTTGTTGTCCTGCTTCCTGCTCACTTTGCTGTGCACTCGTGGAGCCTGGATGCTGTCGAACTTCATGTCTTGTTTCTCTTTTAGATTAGTCACGGGCCGTGCAAGTTTTGCAGCAAAAAATGGTGCATTTGAGTTAATTTGCCTTAATTCAGATTACACTTTCTGTCCTGTAACTATTGCACATGCACGTTTTGCGAAGTCATTGCTGAAACAGAGCATTGTGCAGCCCTAGCGAGTACGTTTTTTTTTTTTTTCAAACCTCACTGACTTTCATTTGAACTTGAACATTTTCTTGCCGGACGGGCCACGATTGGTCTGCTGAAAACAAAGCATCAAGCAGCAGCGGGTCAAAGCAGTAGATGAGCTCCACGAGGCAAAACTTACTCAGATTCCAAATGTGTCTCTTTCTTCGTTGAATTGCATTTATTTCCAGATAGCAGGCAGCGACAGTTTACGCTTGAACTCGTGGCTTGTGGTGCACTTCAACTGAAGCTTCGCTTACTTTTCAGCCACATACTGAGCTGTAGGCACTAATACAAGTAAACTGGTTTTATTTTGTCTCTAAAGCGGTGTGCTGAATATCAACTGACCTGGAAAACTTTTTCTTTTTAATGCAACGCTTTTGATCCAAATTTCAGTTTGATTGGATTCCAGGCAATGGCTCATTAATACTCTTTCTAATTGGCAGCGGCAGCATTATTACTGCTAAGTATGATAAACCTGCGTTTCGGTGAAAAGTCGCGCTGTGCCAGCGGTCTAAATTTATGCCGTCTGAGATCTCGTGACAGGAATAAAATACTGCAGGCAGCTGGAAATTGGTGCTTGTATTTGTGCAAGAAAACTATTGCCCTCGGCCATGCAGCAGCCCCAGCCCCAGCGAAGCCCCCTAATCTTTGGAAGCCATTAGTTCGATAGGCAGGCGGCATTATGCTGATGGTGGTGAAATGATAATTAGAGCTGGAGATAGATTGAGTCAATATAAGTGTAATTAATTTTTAAGTGTGAGGTTTATTAGTACAGAGGCAATCAGGCTCCTAATGAGGGCCTCATAGAACTTCTTAAATAGTGGAACCAGTCAGATTAATAGCTCTAATAGCTTCTGGCACGGGACTTTTATTTATTGCGCTGCATTTGTTTGTATATTTGGCTCTTTTTTTTTTTTTTTTTGTATAATTTTCGGCGATAATTTATGCGGACAAATGATCTTTCTTTGGATTCATGAAGCAAATGGAGACAAGCTGCTGCACATGTATTACAGTCACACCCCCCAACGTATGCAGCTATAAATAGAACTTTTTTTTTTCAGCCCATTAAGGCTCATCTTTTAAATCATGTCATTAATTAAGCTTAGAAATACTCAAGTAATTTCTCTTTAATGAACTTGCTCAATTAAGTCTGCCCTCTTTTTTTTTTTTTTTGCTTTAATCCTCCTCGCTTTAAGCACTCTTTCCTCTCCGTGCACTCGCTCACTGTGGAGCACATTTCTCTGCCGGCGTCTCCTCAACCTGCCTCTTCTCCTCTGTGTGTTTGTGTCGGGGTGTGCGGGTGCATCCACACCCTCACGGAGCAAATCACAGCCGTTTGCTCGCCCGCTTCCAGCTAAAAAAAAAAAAGCCTGGAGAGAGACAGTGGTGCAAACATGCTCCCGCGCACAATGATGATACTTTCAAATAACTGCTAAATGAGCTGCGAGTGAAACGTCACCTCGGGAGTGATCAACCAAAATGAATCATCTGACTCAATTGTGTCTAAATCAGATGGTTTGTGGAGAAATTGCAGCTTGTCAGTGTTGTTTTAACCCCTAAAATTATTTACCTGTACGACTAAACTGCATTCTAAGAAGTGCATTTTCTTCTCAGAAGGTAAGACTTTGAAGGAATGTTTTCCAGTTTGAAAGAGACACAAAGTCCACGATGATGAAGGCCTTGTGACCATCATTCTTAGACTTATGTTTCACTTCATCCGTCCATCCATCCATTATCTCTACACCGCTTAATCCTCACTAGGGTCATGGGGGGCTGGAGTCTATCCCAGCTGACTCAGGGTGAAGGCAGGTTCACCTGGACAGGTCACCAGTCTATCACAGCGCTACACTTAGAGACAGACAACCAAGCACACTCACATTCACACCTACGGACAATTTAGAATCACCAATTAACCTCAACATGTTTCTGGGAGGAAACCGGAGAACCCGGAGAGAACCCATGCTGCACGGGGAGAACATGGAGACTCCACGCAGAAAGATCCCGGTGCCCCCACCAGGACGCAAACCGGCGACCTTCTTGCTGCGAGGCAACAGTGCTACCAACTGTTCAATTTTTACAAAATATCATGCTTTAGTTGGCAGTTTGACAACAACAACTCCATGTTAGAGTCTTGGTTAAGTTAAGGCACCAAAATTACTTACATGTGTTCAGGAAAATGTCACATTTTTGGTTAAAATATGACCTTTTTACAACCTGTTTGAAGCTTTTCCTCCATTTTTTGGAGCAAAATGAGTCCTACCCCTGCTTATATGTGATTGATTGGCTGAAAAAGATCAAGAGCAAAGTAATAAAATAAATTCTAGAAGATGTGCTGATTTGAAACGTCACAAACATGATCAAGCAGAAAATGTGTTTCCCTCAAAACATAATCGAGAATGTAGTTTAGTTCTATATAAATGCATTTTTTTTGTAGACTGGATTGTCTTATGATGCCAGATTTGAGCTTTATTTGTAGATTTTACTCAGTCATTGCCTTCACCAACATGTTTTGCAGACAAGTGACCTCTACGGGGAAAATAAAGAATGTCCTCCGCCTGTAGTAAAGGTAAAAAATAGCTCGATGGTGTTATACCTTTCACAACTTTGCCACAGCAGCATTTATAAAGCGCTTTTTTTTTTAACAAAGTGGATTGATTGTAGCTGAACTACAGCAAATCCCACACTTTGCTCTCAAAGGTGGCGTAAATTCTCACTGGGCTTTGACACACTGACCAAATCTAAACCATCCTGTCAGCGGTGACCTTTGAGGGAAAAAGAAAGAACTGAAGAGCCCTAAAAGAAAGGAGCTTTACCGTGGTACGTACTTGTATTTAGATGTGCTGTTCTGAATGAGGAGCTTTGATGAATTATTCCCTGTGTGCTTACAGGTGACACTTTCCACACAACATTTAGTCTTTTGAACATTTGCTCATTTGATAAAGGTTCATTAGTGAAGCTTTAAAAAGACAACCCTTTTGCAAATGTCCCTCCGAGGCATTTTTACCAACTGTCAGCTGCTGTCAGCTGCGATACAGCTGCAGTCACAGCTGGTTTGTTTAATCTGCTAAAGTGACTTTAACCAAGTCATTTTATTTGCTTAAACTTAACCAGACTTTGACAATTGTGAGTCATTTTTGGAAGGCTCTGACAAACGGTCAGCGTCGTCCTGTAGGTGTGTTTTTGTGCATGCACGGCACCAGCAGCGCTATGCACAGAGAAAATATGAGGCAGCAAATCAACGCATGCTCGGCTTTCATCGCAGTTCTTTTCTCCAAGTATGAAACAACAGCAGCTTCGGCGGTAAATCAGGTGTCCTTGACACTGAGCCTCGAATCTGCTCCAGTTGTGCAGGTTAGCTCCTTGAAAATTCCCTGTATGAATGCGTGCACGAGTGGGCGAGCTTGTATTGTGCCGGTGCTGTTATCAAGATCGATGTGATTTATAACACCAGTCCACTTAGCGACAAGTCAAGCCTGCGCATCCACAGTCAGATCTCCTGCAGCCTCGTCTCGTCTAACGAGCTCTTAGAAAATAAATAAATCGGTTCGGGCTTGCAGGGGAAGCATCATGCGACTGAACTTCACAAGTTGTTAACCTGCTTCAAACAGACAGAACTGCGAGTCTCACTTTTAAAGCAGCACAATTAACACATTCCGTCTACGTTGTTGATTGAAATCACACCAGAGAAGTTTTGTTCTTGGTTTGTTTTGTTTTCCTGAAACTTTCTGACAATATTGATTGAACACACAACAGGCATTTTTTGGATAGAAGGTTCAGTCTGGATTTCAGAGGGAGTCTACGAGCAGAAATAGAATTTAATCATCATGTTTTCATAAGCGCATAATCACCTGTAACTACAAGTTGTTGTGTTTTTGCTAGCTGAGAATGAGCCCTTCACATCTGCACAGCCTGCCATGTTGCACAGCCATGTTTCTAAAGTAGCTGGAAAGTGAAAATACAAACACAGGCTCTAGACAGACCCTCATGCATTTTTAGTAAACACCACAAGTTCTCCTGTGTACGTGGAAGGATATCGTAAGGTGAGCGGTATTCAGCTTGTTGCAATCTGCAGCCTGACCACTAGATGCCGCTCATTTCTTTACACTGCTCCTTTAATGTTACTGATCCAAACTGTTTCGGATGTCATTAGCCTGTTAAGTAGCAGTGGAGTCGCAATTGTACACTTACAAGGTGGGAAAAAAAAGTCCATATTATCAGATTAGTGAGGTTGGATGTCAGTGCAAGTCAGTAATCTCATTTATTATTTAGTTTTGCAGTTTGGTTAAGTTTAGGCACCGAAACGAGTTGGTTAGGTTTAGAAAATGATCTTACATGGGTTTTAAAAAAAACACTCTGTCTCTATAGTTACCACGTGTTTCAAACAATTACGTAGTTTCTTGCTGTTTTTCAGTGACCAGAATAGATGATAACACACCTACAGACCTACCAGAAGGTGGAGAAGGTCTCTACTGGCTCATTTACAGGAATGATGTGCACCAACAATGGCTGATAACATCCAGATCAGTTGCTTTAAACCTGCGATAACAGCTTTTTTTGGCCATTAGATGGCAGTGAAAACAAGGTAGCAGCACAACACTGATATATTATCACCTGTACCTCTAGTTTATAT